GATTATCAGCGTGGGTAGAATTATTAAAATAGAATTATTTTAATGATGTTACCGAGATATTATTCGCTATTTAAGAAGTGAAAAAGTCAACATGCCAGAACTCATTGCTTCTAAAAATGTTCCTTTTCGCCGGATTATAACTTAGGTGCATCTATTAGTCCAGTTTCAGCGTAGTAAAACACAAACGCTCATTTCTCAAGAACCATTCTTAAAAAACCAAAAAAAAAAACGGTCCTTAAGACATAAAGGGAAAAGATAACAGCAACGAATTGAAATTGGCTTACATCCTGATCATATTCCCATCTGTTGCATTCAATAAGTTTTGCAGTTTCATTTCGTACTGCTTCCACTGCAACATCCAATGGCATACGGCGTAATTCGGCGAATCGTTCCAGGCCACGATCATAGTAATGACACTGGAATCAAATATTTTCCATTTCTATTAAGGTATCAAATTTGAGCTCATCGACCATCTCATCGTAATTCAGAAACAACTATTTTCAACACATTCCAACCGCCCGAAGAAAACTGCCTCTGTTATAAGAACCGATGAGTTGATAATCTTTCGAAGGTCAGAATTGGCAACACGCAAAATCATACGGCCATTTAGCATAGAGACAAGGGTAGGCGTTCAGAAATTATCACAGTAATATTTGGAAAGAATACTTAACTAAGTAAGTGTTGTTCGAAGACAGAACCACAAAAGCAAACTTTCATTTAAGTTAATGAGCTGAAATTCATCAGAAAATTTCAAGATTATTATTAATCGTGGGAATTACCTGATCATGGAACTCACGTATTCCTCGTTGCGGATTTGCTGTTTTCGGAAAAATAATCGATGTGCCCATTGCATCCGCTCGAGACCACTTGAAACCGTTCTCCCCCGATGCGGATTCATTGAAACCAGGTACCTGAAATAATCTCACTGATAATAAACAAAAAATTTCTTTCATGCAGCTAATAATAATCTTCCAGTCTTCTTTTTTGGCTTTTTTCCATGCGTAAATTTCGACAGTATTTATGCATTCACATCGACATGCATCCCTATTTAGTGCTCTGGCAGTTCCGGCTTCTTCACATGCATTAGTTTCTATTGCCTTTACCACATTCACAGCGACAAGCATGAGTCAAAAACAAACAACTACTTCTTCATAAGCACTGACTTCCTAAATTCCTTTGCTCTTTCAAAGCTAAACTCACGTTTCACACAATAAATCAAAGTAGTAACGAACCTCACACCAATGAT